CTGTTATAGTTGTATAAATGTATTACCTTTGGTTTATGATTTTTTTTTTTCATTTGATATTTGTGTTTTAAGAATATTACTTTTAGAGTAGTTTTATTTTTTTGTTTATTACTTTGTACTTACTGTAAAGAGGTTCTGGTCTTATAATTAACTAAAGGTTAAAATCTACACGGGTTTTTTTTTTGAGTCTTGCAAGTTTATAGCGTTTATTATACACCTTTAAATAAATTAGTTTAAGTTATTACAAAAGTAGTTATGTATATATTAATTTTTTATTTTTTTATATAAAGTAGTTTTCTGAAATAAAATTTATGTAACGTACTTAATCGTTTAAGGAGGTTATTAAGACTCCTAAGTTGGAGATCTGTATAGTAACATTTGTTACTAATAATTAGTGATCGTATTTAAATTGTTTGGTCGATTACTTTCATTATAATTGCTTGCCTACAATGTACTTAAGTTTTTTTAGTGCAAGAATTGAAAATTCTATAATTGCAAGATTTCCGTTTTTTAAAATGCTTTTATTAAATCCTAAAAATTTTTAACTTTGCCTAGATCAACCTTATTGTTTAGGTTATATTATTATCTCTGTAAGGATTAGTCCTTTAAATATTTGCAAATGACAATTATTATTATATATTTTTTTCTATTAAAAACTTTGTCGTCAGCTATGAATTGGACTAAACTTTTAAAAATGGTATACAAAAAAGTACAATCCTGAGATAGCCCAAAAGGCTGGGTTTCTGTGTAAAATCTCTAAATCTTCCTAAATAAACTATTATAATTAAAGATTTTTTAAGTATTAAAGTAAATTTGTATAACTTTTTCTTTCTAAAATAATGAGTAAATTATTTAATTGGGTTGAAGTTCGACATCGGAAAGAACAAATAAATTTATTATAAGTTGAATCAAAAGTAAATATTTCAAGTATTTTTCTAATTTAATTTTAAAAACTTAAATTAATTGCTAATTCCGTTTTTCACTTTATTAAAAAATTTAAATCCGATGGAAATCCATTGAATAATACTAAGTTGCTTTTCTTTTCCTATACAAAAAATTTTAAATCTCTTAAACTATAATTAATTTTTGAAAGGAAACTGTAACTTTTCTTTCCTTTGCGTCATTTTTAGAAAGAAAAATTAATTTCCTCTTAAAGTTATTTTTTTAGTTGAAGCCCACTTTTTATTGGAAAAATAAGTAATTTTTTTAATGATTATATTAATATTTTCTATAAAATCCCTTATAAACAATGAGTTGTAATAAAAAAATTTAAAATATTAACAACATATATTTTCTTTTTTAAGAAAGAGACTGATCTCTATAATTTAAAAATTAGTTGAAAACTAAAATTCTAAATCGTGTGACATTAAATTAAATTTAGAAATTTACCAACAATTTTTAAATGGAATTTTATAAACAGCACTTTCCTTCAATAAAAAAAATATAATTCCAAAATTTGGTTTTTAATAAAACCAATCTTTTGTATGATGGAAATAAAAGATTTATAACGAATTTAATTTAAATTTTAACTAATCACAAAAATCTAAATTTGCATATAAACTAAACTATAACTTAAAATTATTTTTTAACAAAAAAATTTATATACAAGTATTTTATATTTTGTTAACTGGCAAATTAGTTGGCATTTACAAAAATTAATTTTTAAAAGTCAACGAACTGCAGTTTACCAGCAATAAACCGGAAGCTTAAAATTTAAAATTAATTTTTAAAAAAAATTAAATAGTTGAAATTTTATTTATAAACTATTAAAACGTTTATCATAATTTGATTGAGATCGGCAACGACTACATTAGAAAAATCAGTAAGTGAATTCTGAAATTCAATAAATTGCCGGCCACAGAAAACTATTAAAAACCGAAATTCCAAAATAATTTATAAATTTTAAATAAATATTAAAAAACTCGAATTAAGTTTAAATTCTTATTTGTAAATTTCATTTACTAAAAATTTATATTTCTTTTGAGAGCAGCTTTAGTTTTTCTTTGATGTTTTTTATTCGTTGGCGATCTTTTTAAATTAATTTTATGCATCTGCGAAGATTTCGAATCCAGTCGAGCGATTGAATCACAAGCAAAAGACGACTCAGAATTAGCAATTTTAGTTTTATTAATTTCGGATTCTAAAAGAAAAATTTTATAAAATATAATTTAAAAAAATAAAAAAATAATATTAAAAGAACATTTTAAATTAAATTTTTAACGTAAATTTTATATAAAAATAAAAATTAAATTTATTTTTTTTTATAAAATTTTCTAATAAAAAAAGTTTATTTTTGGAAATAAATAATAATAATAAATAATAATGAAGTAATATTAAAAAGTGAAAAAAAAAATTATATTCCAAAAAAATTTAAATTTCTTATATTAAATATTTTAAATAAGTTTTCTATAAAATTATTATGCGCTAGAAGATAACATTGGTAAAATAATAATATATAAATATAAAAAATATTGTAATAATTAAAGTTTTTAATATAAATCATATATACTATAAAAAAGTTTATAATAAATTTAGTATTAATAAATAAATAATAAAACATAAAATTATCAAGTTTATTTTTTGTATAAATGATAAAAGTTTAATAAAAATAATGAATTTAATTTTTATATATAAAAAATATCTTTTATTTAAAAAATTAAATAATAAAAGTTTTAATAAAAAATTTTTTAATAATAAAAAAATATAAATAATAAAAGATTAATAAATATAAAACATAATTTTTATATATAATTAAATTTTCAAAAAGAGTAATAATAAAAGTTTATATATAATTTTTATTAATAAAAAAGTTTGTAATAAATATAATTAAATATATAAATAATAAAAGTTAAACGATAAATATAAAAGTATTTTTAAAGAATAGGATAATAATAAAAGTTTTTGCATTCATAATAATTATTACTAAAAAAAATCTAAAGTTGATGAATTTTATAAAAATATATAACAAAAAGTTTAGTGAAATAAATAAATATAAAAAAAAAATTTTTTTATATATAACAGTTAATATTTTGGAAAAAATTAACAATAGTTTAACGAAACATAAATAATAATAATAAAAGTTTATATTTATATAACAAAAATGTTATTAAAAAAATATTATAGTAAAAGTTTTTATAATAATGAAAATAATACGAATATAAAAGTGTAATACTATAAATAAAAAAATTATTTACAATGCATAATAATAAAAGTTCTTATATAATTATATTTATTACTTAAAATTTATTATAAATATATAAAAGTTTGATAAAAATAATACAAATAGAAAAGTCATATTTTATATTAAAAAAATATTATAAAAGGAATAATAATAAAAGTTTTTATATTACTAGTATTTATTACTTATTTATTTATTACATAAATATGAACGTTGATAAAAATAATACAAATAAAAAATTTTTTAAAAGCTTTTATATTTATAATTTTTAATACTTAAAATTATATATATATATATATATTTTTACTATAAATATATAAAAGTTTGATAAAATAATACAAACAGGAAAGTTTAATATTTTTTGTATAAAATAATCATAAAAGTTTTCCTAGTAATATTTATCATTAATAACGTTTATAATAAATTATAAAAATAATAATAAAAATAAAAAAAAACTTAAGTTAAATTTTCAAATATAAATAAGTATATTAATAATAAACCATAAAAGTTCAATAGTTATAGCAATAAAGTTTATATTTCTATATAAAAGTAATTTTCTTTAGAAATATTATAATAATAAAAGTTTTTTATATAAAGAATAATAATTTTTTAAAAACTTATAATAAAATTTATACATAATTTATTTTTTTATATAATATATATATATAATTTAAAAATAATGATAATAATCCATAAAAAGTTTAATAAAAATAATTATAATGAAGTTGATATTTCTATATAAAAGTATTTTTTTAAAATATTTTATAACATAAAAGATTATTATATGAAGGATATATTTTATGTTAAAACTTTAATAAATAATAGAAAATTTTTATCAACAATAAAAATAAGTTTTTTTTTATAGATAAAATATATTTATTTAAAAAAATATTATAATAAAACTTTTTATATAAATAATATTTATTATTTGAAAATTTTATTTAAAAATAATAAACTTAAAGTGTTCGTTCTCTTATATATAAAATTATATATTTTTAAAAATATTATAATAATAATAATTAAAAGTTTATAATAAAAAAATAAAAGTTTTTAATATTTTTACTATAAAAATAAAAAAAAAATATATAAAAAATACTTTTTTTATTTTCTTCCGATAAAGTAAAATTTCTTTTTCTTCTGTTTATTATTATGAACATAATATCAAAAATAATAACCATCAGTAAAAGTTTATATAAAGATTTAAAAAATTATATTCTAAATTAGTAAAAGTTAATAATAATAATAATTTATAAAAATATATAAAAAAAGTGATATTTTTAAAATATTAATAATATATAAATTGTATAATAAAAAGAATACAGTTATTATTACTATTAAAAATAATAATAAATGGATAGAAAAGTAGAAGAGAAATATGAATAATAATAATAAATATAATAATAGAAAGAAAAATAATTATTATTATATAGAAAAAAACAAAGATAATTTTATAAAAGTAAATACTATTATTACTGTGAGAAATAATTAATTTCATAAAGCACGTGACATTATTTATATATAATTTTGATATTAATAATAATAAACAAATAAAGTACCAGAAAGAAAAATAATTAAAATATAATTATAAGAGTAAAAAAGTAATGAAAATAATATAATAACAAATAAAAAATCTCATAATAATACAAAAAAAAGTAATAATTTTAATAATAATTATAATAATAGTAAGAAAATAATAAAAGCAGTACAGTTAAAAAAAGTAAAAAAAAATAAATTTAATAATAATAATAATTATCATTATAAATAAAATATCAAATATAATAGTAGAAAGAAATTCATTATTGATATAAATTAAAAGTAATACGAAAAACTTCTTTCTCCAATTATAGGATTATCAAAAGTTTCTTCGCCGGTAAAAGTCTATTATTTAAATTAACTTTTTATTATTATTACAATTCATAAAGTTCTTAACTATATTCTGTATTACTTCTCTAACTTTTTATATATTTATTGATAATATTATTTATATATTTATATTATTACGAATATAATTTATACTATTTTTTAATAAATTTATTTTTTATTATTATTAAATATATATTAATATTAATATTTTTTTTATTTATTATTAGTATTAGTACATATATGTATATTTATATTTAGTTATTTCTTATTATTATTAGTAAATATATTCATATATTTAATAATAATTATTATTATATATATCTATTTTAATTACTATAAGAAAAAATATAATGATAATATTTTTTTTTTACTTTTTATTATTTCTATAAATTTCCTTTAAAAGTGTATAAATCTTTTATATAAAATTTTTATTAATATTATAATAAAAGTTTCATATAATAAATATAATTATTGATAGCAATAATAAATACTTTTAAAAAATAAAAATTTGTATATTTATTATTAGCAGTAATTAAATTTACTTTTTGTTATTTTACTTTTTATTATAAACTACAAATTTTTTCTTTAAAGTTACTGTTATTTTTTATATATTTATATTATAAATATTTTTCCTTAACATTTTTTAATTATAAATTTTTTATTCTTTACTTGTAGAAAAGTTGTTGGGGCAGACAAATTTTCTATGAATACGTCATCATAAGCATCGTCATATTCGTCCTCGTACTAATAAAATAATAAAGAGGTTATTAGTAAAGTTTGTATTGACAATGAAAAATTGATGACGAATAAAATAGTTGTTAAAAAATATCGCTGCCTCTATGGGTCAAAGTACTAAGGTAATAATAATAATAATGAAAAATTGCCGAAAACTTTAAAAATTTTATAATTTTTCCGAAACAAGTAAAAGTTCCATTATTGAAACGATTTCATTATATTTTTTGGTATTATTTTTAGAATGAAACATTCCCGACCCAAAAAATTATGAGAATTCTGCATTGGTCAAACAATTTCATTAATCTGTTAATTATTTTTAATTCTACAAAATCAATGGATACCAACTTAAACAAAAAGGAACAATTAACCAATCGTAAAAGCTATTTAAAATGTTATGAATAAGTAATTCTGTAAGCGGGTAGTAACGGGATCATTATATTTTTTGAGAATATTAATTAACCAACCGCAGCCAAGTGTCAAATGAGAGTTTCGGTCATTAGTCAAACAACCTCTATTTTTTTAACTTAACAATAATTTAACTAAAAATAGCAATATTGGAACAAAAGTTCACAAGTTACTGGTCTATATAAAATAATAAAAAAACTAATAAAGTAGCAGTATTACCAAAGAAATATTGAGAATAAGTAGTTACGCCATTGGTCAAAGTCTCAAGTTATAAAAAATAATGAAAGTTATTTAATTAAAAAACGCATCAATAACAACGTCGTGTAAACTGTTTTATAAATAAAAGCTTTCCTGATTGGTACGATTATATAATGTTGACTAAATCATAAAAAATAAAGTAACGCTGCCGATAAGAGTTAATAGATACAACTTAAAAATTGCAACGCCTAAAAGGTAGCGTCACTGTCCAAAACATTTTTTTTTAAGGCACAAGTCACTATAAATAATGAAATGTCGGGTTCAACAAAAAAACGGCCATAGCAACAGTACATTAAAATTTAGCACCACTATAAAGATAGTAAATATTTTGGCGAAAAGATGGGACAATTAACTTTAATAAATTATCAATACCAAAAGAATACTAAGCGGTTTAAAAAAAAGGAAATTAACGAATAGTAACCACGTGCAGGTAATGCAAGTAATTATAGAGACTTTTAATTGGTTGATTTATTACTTATTAAACTTGGGTCATATTAAATAATGAAACTAAGCAGAAAAAATGTAACTGAGCAATAAAAAAAGGTAAAAATGCTTGCAAAGAAATACCAATATACCAGTTCATTATAATTAAAGAATTTAATGGAAAAAAAATAAAGAAAATGCGCGGTTATTATATAGAAAAACCAACCAATAGTAAACCTAACAATAAAAAACAGTTTTATTAATATTTACTAATAATAAATAAAAATAAAAATAATGAATATTATATTAAAAAAAAAGGCAAGAAATTTAGTGATTAGGTTTTCCCAGCATATTTTAGTATTCATTAAATATAATAATGTTATCAACCCCACAATTCATGAAAAATTGATATATTTCTTCATTAATAATAATGAAAATATTTTTAACCAGACGGGAATCAAAGGTTTCCATATCTTTTTCTTCTGATAATTGTAAAGAAATAAGTTTCTTTGTTATTTCTTTTTGTGATTTATCGTTGAGATTTATTCTATTATTATTATTGTTATTATATTATTATTATCACTATTTAGATTATTGTTATCAATATTTATATAACTTTTGTCTGGTATACTGAAGTTTGCTTTTGTTATAATTGTCAGGTTCTAATTTATCATCTTCACAATCTATAATAATAATGATAAATAAAAATAATAATTATATAAATAATAATAAATAATAATAAAAATGAGAATAACGATAATAAACAATAATAATAGTAAATAATAAATAATACTCATTAGAATAAATATAATAACTCACAATAAACTTCATCCCGCTTTATAAAGAAGGCTGAAGAATTTTGTTGAGCTTTCCTTTCATCCCGGAGTAAATCGCTTCGTTATATTATAGTAATAATAATAATAATAATAATAATAATAATAATAATAATAATAATAATAATAATAATAATAACAATAATAATAATAATAGTAATAACAACAACAATAATAATAGTAATAAATAATAATGATATGAAAATGATAATAATAAACAACGTCAAGTCCAAGTTTTTGTCGTACATACGGAGAGAATTTGGAAGGGAATCTTCAAGAATAGCATGTATAGTTTTCTTTAATATAATTATTGTATAAATATTATAATTATTATAATAATATATTATTAAAAAATTAATAAATAATAATAATAAAAATATATATTAGACTTTATTATTTATTATTATATTAGTAGAATACTTAAGTTTATTATTACAAAAAAAAAATAAAATAAAAGTAAAATATAACTTTTATTATTCATAATAAAAATAATAAAGATAATAACAAGAATAACAAGAATAATAATAATAATAATAATAATAATAATAATAATAATAATAATAATAATAATAATAATAATAATAATAATAATAATAATAATAATAATAATAATAATAATAATAATAATAATAATAATAATAATAATAATAATAATAATAATAATAATAATACTTCAAAATCATTATCAAAGTAACGCAAGCAGAGAATAGCAAATCCAGAACCAACAGGAACAACATCAGTAATAGCAGAAGCTTCAGATTGCCGCATAATAAGTTCATCCTGATAATAGTAATAGTAATATTTAATAATAATAATAATTACAATAACAAAAAAAATGATAATAATTATAAGAACATTATATATATAAAAAACTTTTTAAGGTAACTTAAAAGAACTTACCAAAATTAAAAGGTTTTGTATTAATAATAAAAGTCATTATAAACTTCTTTGAAAAACTTTAATAAATTTTAGTAATAACAATTATAATTGAAAATTTAAAGAAAGTTAATAATGGCGTATAGTGTTATTTGTAATTGGCTGTTATAAACATATTATTGACCAATAAATTTTAAAAAATTTATATAACTGATATTTAAATAGAAATTTTTTTTATGTATATAAAAAAATATATTCATAGCACTACTTAATAAAAAATAATGATAAAAGTTTTAATAATGATAACAGTATCAAAAATAAAAAAAAAGAATATAATTTTTTGAAAGACTGCAAGTATAAATTATTACAATATAATAATATTTAATAACTATATAACTTTTGAAAATATAATAACTTTTCTATTTGAATTATATACTTTTCATATATATATAAAAAAATAATATATAAATTTTATTAAGTAAATGAGTATTAGATAATTAATCTTTAAAATATATAAAATATATTAATAGCATAATAGTAATAAGAAAAATATTATTAATTATAATATTAATAATATATATAATAATAATCTTTACTGCTTCAACTTCAGGGCTTATAGAAGCATTTTCACTATCAAAAGTTGATATGCCTTTGTTGTTTAAACTAAACATGCTTAAAACTTCTGAAAGTAGCGAAAGAAGTTTTTCATTATCGCTTAATAGTTAAATAAAATTTTAGTAGATATAGTGAAAATAATAAAAAAAAAAGGGAAAAATATATATAATAATTAAAATAATAATAATAACCTAATAAAAGTTAAACTTTTAAACTTCAGTAAAAAGTTTGAATAGGGATAACAATTGTTATGTTCGCGAATAAATAGTGAATAGGAAAAAAGTTCTTTGATGTGAGATATAAACTTCTCTGATATATCAAGTTTTTGCGTTTCTGAAAGTTGTGATTCGGACGATAAAACTATAATAATAATAATAATAATAACCTAATAATGAATTAACTTTATATTATTTTTATTCATAATTATTTAAAATATTTTATTGGTGAAGTATTGAAGAAAAACGATTTGGTATTGGGAATAAAATTATATATTTTATATGCCAAAAAAATTGCTTAAATAGTAATTTTTACATTAATTTGGTAACTATTAAATTGTTGAACTTTTCTATATAGTTAAAGAAACTTCTAAGTGTATTTTAGAAAATATAAAAAGTATATAAAGGCACATATGAAAGTTATATTTTTTTTTTTTGAAAAGTACTTTCTTGCTTTCATAAAACCAAATTAATGCCAATGAATCGCTATATTGTAATTTTTAAATATAACTTCTGTAAGTATTTACATTACCAAACTTTATAATTATAAAAAGTTTATATAATATTCAAGAAATGTAAAAAGCACATAAGAATTTGTATTTTTCTTATTAAGTACTTAAATGCCTTAAAAAATATAGAAACGCCAAATTGCATTAATTGTAACCTTATAATTATTCTGGTAGTAAACTAAAACTGTTAAACTTCATATTTTTTTTTATAAAAAAAATTAAAAAAGGGCACATAAAAGTTTTTAAAATATACTACTTCTTTGCTTAAAAGAAATCAAATAATGCTCCAAAATTATATAATTTGTATACCTTTATAACTATTCTGGTGACTAGTTATATTATAATTGATATATATGTAAATATTGTAATAAAAAAAAATAAATAATTTGGTAGGTCATACATATAATTAACACGTAAATAAAATAATCGCAGATCTCTTAATAAAGTGCCTTTTACCAGGGAATATGTAAACCAAATGTTCGATAAACTGAAAGCAAGTCAAAATTGAAGTTCGGCAATTCTTAAAAAATGATGAATCGCAATTTTCAGCTTCTAGGATCTTCAAAAAATAATATTAATAAGAATAATCAAATATAATAACTTAAATTTAATCATAAACCTTAAATAATTATAAAATCCTAAATTATAATTTTTTTTTAAATTCTCTTTATAGCATAAGTAGTCTCAGTTTTTTTAAAATTTTTATTATAAAGGAACACCTTGTTAAGTTAATTATATATATATTGAACTATTAATAACTTACTAATACGCGTAGGTAACATAAATATTGTTAGTAATTAATAAAATATCCCTTAAGCAACCCTCGTAAGGGCACAAGTTAACAAATTTAGAGCTTACAGGGAAAATGAAAAGGGACCCATGCCCACAATTTTTTTTTAATATTGCTATCTTTTGTATCCTTACGCAAATATATATATATATTACATTGCTCTTAATAGAATTTGAAATCATTTTTTATTTAATCTTTTTATTAACTTATTGAACTTACTAATTACTAAATTATTAAATGGTTTTATAGGACACGATTAATACTGCGCATGATTAAATTTAAAAAATTTATTTATAACTCAATTCTTTTAATATTATAAAAGTGACGTGGATAAAATATAAAATTAAGTAACTTTTTCATAATATCCCGGTAGTTCCTGGAAAAGCTGTTCGGTATTTAAAAGTATAACTCCATCAGGGTAGACCACAAGAAAAGAACGTATGGAATTGCAGACAAATTTTAAAAAGTCCAAATTTTTTTCTGAAGTTTAGTTTTATAATTATTATTAAAGATAAAGAAATCGACTATTAACAAAATTAAAGAATGATTTTACATTATCCACAAAAAATATATTTTTATTGGCTCTAAAGACAGAAAACGTGTTAGTCGTTCAATCTTAAATGCGGATGGAAAAGTATAATATTAAGCTACCTCGCTCTTTACGTGAAACCTATTTTGTTTATAAAATTATCTTGAAGTAGTATACAAACTTTTACAGAAGAGCTATGTTACACCCACAAGACCCGTGAGAGAGGTTGTCGACTTAAAAGAAATTGAAAAAGCTTACTTTTTACAAAATTTTAATATTCAAAGTTTAAAAAAAAGGCAAAAAAGTATAGCTCATTACAAATAAAAATTCCCCGCTATCATAACCCAAAAGACTTTCTTGCTGTGTTTTATATAGCTTAAACCGCCAACTAATATGACTTTCAACATTTTTATCTCTACTATTAAGGATCTCGGAAGAAAACGCCACAAGTTTATAAAGTTTAGAACGATCTACATTAAAATCTAAAGTAGCAGTTAAAAAAAAAGTTATGAAAATAAATGAAACTAGCTAAACCTTAGTAAATATCGCCGCTTTGCTGAAAAATATAAGGCGAGAATCAATTTTGCTTGATTTCCTTAAAACCGTACCGTAAATATTTTTTTACCAAAGCGAGATTTTCCTTTAGCAACTGTGTATTACTAAACTGATCTTTTAAATGGATTTACACTGGTTGTGTGGAAACTTTAAGTATTAAACACAACTAAAAATACAAATAATGGTTTCATTGTGAGTTTTTGATAAATATCACTATATTTTTAGCATCCACTGCAAATTCCAAAACTGCAAAGTCAAACGCATATAATATTGTATTAAATGGATATTTACATAATTTTGGTATGCATATTTAGTTGTTCTATCATAAATCAGAATAAGCCCCTTATCTGAATTTTTTATTTTTATCTAAATTTGGTAGAAAACAAACACTTTTTTAAGCGTAACTTGTTAAAGTAAACTTTTTTTAATTATACCCTATTTAAAAGGTTAACTCAGACTACATTTTTTTATAACTATATAGTTTAAGATGTTGAAGTTTATAGCTTTTGGGTTGCAAGCAAAGTAAACATTTTAAAATGCACATCCTTTGCAGAGTAAATTTTAAACTACATTTTTTAATAACTATACCATTTAAGATGTTCA